GCTTGTTGGTTCGAGCTTTGATCGAGAAATCTCAAAAAAAGCGTTCAAGCGTGTGGTGGGTAACCAGGCTAGCACGGGAGGTACTGCTCGCACACTAGGCCTTCGCGCACAAATGTGTCCAGAGGCGTACAGCAGTACATGTCGCACCAATGGTGGTGCGTAGCAGCGTCTGTGTGTTGTTGGTGTGATGTGCCCCTCTCCGCGGAAAGAAAGAGAGAGAGGCCGCTGCTGCTGCTGTTGCTACTACTACTGCTGCTGCTGTTGGTTGCTGCTGCTGCAACCAAATAAATGTTGATCTCTCCTCTCGCTTCCTCCGCCGATAGCAAACAGCAGTAAACAGTGTATGGCACACCCTTCTCCCGCCGTCTCGCCCTCGCTATGGTCTGTNTTGCTACTACTACTGCTGCTGCTGTTGGTTGCTGCTGCTGCAACCAAATAAATGTTGATCTCTCCTCTCGCTTCCTCCGCCGATAGCAAACAGCAGTAAACAGTGTATGGCACACCCTTCTCCCGCCGTCTCGCCCTCGCTATGGTCTGTGTCTCCCTCTCCCTGTTTGTCCATGTATGTCTGGCTCTGTGCGTGTGTGGTGTGAACAGGGTTTTCGCACGATTGAGAGCGAAGTTTAATAAGTTTCCGATTGAGAGCGAGAACCAAAAAAAATCGAAATTCGGGTCCAGACGCCTCCCGTCATTTCTCGGGAAGCAGGGGACGGGCTCTTCCAAAAAGCGGCGCAAATTGAAGCTCTCTTCAGCAGCTTCGCGTGCATATGCGTGTCACTGCGATCGGCTGCAGCAGCGAGGAGCTACGCACGTTGCTCAGGTTTTTCGCCTGATTGAGAGCGGAGTATATGATTGAGAGCGGAGGAAGCCAAAAAAATTGAAATTTCGGGTCCAGACGCCTCTTGCCATTTCTTGGGAAGTAGGGGGCGGGCTCTTCCAAGAAGCGGCGCAAATTGAAGGTCTCATCAGCAGCGTCACGAGCATATGCGTGTCATCGCGATCGGATGCTGGAGCCAGGAGCTAGACAAGTTGCTAGATTTCCCCAGATTGGCTATTCCTGCCTCAAACTGTTTCAGGGCGATTTGATCGCGGGCGGTGAGCTCTGCTGTAGATTCTGCTCCCCGCTGTAGCTCCACAACGAGAGACGCCCACAGGATGACCAGGGTATCGGCTTGTAGCTACGGGCTAGGCCTTCAATTCAAGTCACGCAGCAAGCTCCACCTCTCAGCGGTAGTCCAGCTACAGCGCATTGCGCAATCTCGCTCTCAATGACAATCAGAAACTTCGCTCTCAATCACACGAAAACCTTGTTGTTGCTAGATTTCCCCAGATTAGCTATTCCTGCCCGAAACTGTTTCAGGGCGCCGTGGCCTGGCGCGGTAGGCCCTCCCGTAGCTTCTGCTCCGCGCTGTAGCTCCACAACGCGAGACACACGCAGGATGACCCGGGTATCGGCTTGTACCTATGGGCAAGCCCTTCAATTCAAGCCGCATAGCAAGTTCTACCTCTCACCAGTAGACAAGCTACATCGTATCGCACGATCTCGCTCTCAATCAGATATTTCGCTCTCAATCGTGCGAATATATATGTTGTTTGTGGTGTCTTGGTTCAAAATCAAACGACGCCTCCTCTCGGTGTTGCAAGGGGCCAGAAACTTCCCTGCTTCAAGTTGGGTACCGACGCTGCACTATCTCGACGTACCGAGCACGGATTGAAAAGGTAGCAGTTGGGGCAGCTCGGGCAAAATATTACTTGTTGTGAACACGTCTTAGATTGCAATTTGGTGCCGAGATGGTGAAATGGGCTGGAATCTGCTGGGTAATATATCGAGGCTGGTCACAGACAGACAGAAGACAGACAGACGGACAGACGGACAGACAGACTTGAGCCCGTGTTGCCCCCCCCCCTCTAAACAGCTTTTTTCCCGAAAAACAAATAGCGTCCCTACCGGGCCACTTCTCTTCAAAAAACAACGATTAAAAAAACTATGGTCCGTCTGGGAAAATTTTTCCATTCGCGTTTTGTGCGATAGCTTTTGTAAAGAAAAGAGTTGGAATATGAAATAACGATGTTCGTGATCACCTCGTCAAGCTACGTCGATAGTCTAGCTGCAGAGTTTTTTTAATTTTGAGAAAATCCCGGGTTTCCCCGTCCGCCAATTTTTTTCCGTTTGGGCCGATTTTTTCCGGTTGTGCGATTTTTTTCCGTCTGGGCCGGGTCCCGACGGAAAAATCTACCGGGTTATTTATTGAGGATTTTCAGTTATTTTTGGCCGGAAGAAAGACGCCGGCAACTTTTTCCGTCGAGGACGGGACGAAGCAGCACGTACGAGCGCACGCAATCAAGCGCTCCCTGCGCAGAAGGCTGAGCAGCGGAGACTGGGGTTTCTTTCACAGCAACGTGTGTGCAGTTGTTGGTCGGTATTCGGACGCGCGAGAAGGTTCTTGGTGCCCCCGTGCGGCGGAAGAGCAGCTCGCGTTTTCTTTTGAACTGGATCATCTTTGATCGAGGTAGGAGGGCCTCTGGAAGAGGAGAGAGGATCGCGACTCAGCGCGAGGCGGCAGGAGCCCAGGCGGCAAGAGCCCGGCCGTCTGTGAGTGGGTAGGAGGAGAAGGAGGAGGGGGCGTCCCTGAGTGGTTGCATGGACAGCAGTGCGACCGGAGAGGAGAGCGACTCCGGCAGCAGCTCCAGCTTGGTCGTAGACGTGGTCCCTACCTCGCGTGCACGTGGAGGAAGTACGCAGGAAGTCAGCAGTGAAGCCTCGTCACCTTTGTCGAGGGGTTCGAGCATGTCGCCTCCCACTCGTTCATCCCCGCGTCTGCAGCGTAGGCGAGGCGAGAACGCGCCAGAGAACGACCCTTCATCTCCATCGAGTGGCGCAGACCAGTCGACATCATGGAGTGGTTCAAAGGCACCGTCATTGAGAAACCGCGAACCAACGCGTTGGTTCTTCTCAATAGGCACAAGTCGAGCCGCCCGTCCACCGGGTGTTTTTTTTTCCGTCACTATTTTCCCGGGAAGCAGGCCACTTGTGACGCTGTCTCTTTTTGGGCTGTCCCTTTTCTCAAAAAGGGACAACTGACCAAAAACCACTTGTTACGTGGTCCTTTTTTGCGTTTTTGAACCTCCCGAAAAGGGACAGCGAAAAAAGATCACCCCATTCTGTCCCTTTTTGTGCAACTTTGTCCCTTTTTGAGAAAAGGGACAGCCCAAAAAGAGACAGCGTAACAAGTGGCCTAAGCGGATTTTTCTAACGGGTTTCTATGGGGAAACCCGTGAAATTCACGGAATGCAACAATTCTGGCCAAAATGATCCACGGAACCCCCTAAACGTGCATGGTACCCCCGTTCATACGGAACCCCATAACCATACCACGGAATCCCGCTAATCATGCCACGAAACCCTCAATTACGCCACGGGACCCCCTCACACCACGGAATCCCCAGGGCTTTCAAGCTCTGCACCAATTACAACTGCGTATGTGTACAGCAGTATGCATACTTCCATGCTTACAAACATTTACACACACACTGTTCAAATCACATGCATTTGCATACATATGCATATGTAGGGCGTACGGGCGAGGGTTGCGCCCTCGCACAAAAGGAATATGTGTGGTGTGTGGCAGGAAAGCAAATAACGATAAATGCCCCCAGCAGCAAAACAAAACACGGAATTCCTCGCGAACCAGATTTTTATTTGGAAATAGGAAAAGTGTACCGTCTCGGGAGCTACGAGAGGAATCGATTGCCGTGGTCATTTTCAAGGGTTGTATATTAGAGAACCATTGCGAAGCAACTGGTCTCCAAAATCCAGTTTTTCGCCGAAATTTCTTGTACTTTTACTCAAATCAAATTCGGAAATATATTCCGTCTGGGGAATTCCAAGAGCTGTCCAAATCCGGTCTCAGAATTGTGTTCTTGGAAAAAGACACCCCCAGGTCATTGCGAACGATATTTTCCGGTCATGTGCAAATGCAAGACGAATAAGAACCAATAAACAAACTCCACAGGGACACGCCTGGAGACAGGGCGTTTGCCGGTACTTTCGGTTTTCGGAACAACCCCCCCACCCCCGAGAAAACTTGACATAAGTGCAGGTCGGATTTATGGAAAGTTGTCCCCCGACGGACCATATAAAAAAAAGAAGGAAGAAAAATCGCCCTCTGATTGGGCGATGATGAACAGTCCGTGGCCTGTGAACAAGGGACAGAACAGCGGCCGCCGGGCCGTCTCAAGTCTAAAAGCCCTATCAAATGTCCCCTCGGTCTCAAAGCCCTATCAAATGTCCCCTAAAATCGAGCGGACATTTGATAGGGCTTTTAGAGAACAACTGGCGCAAGCGTGGTGAACCGAGCACGAAAAGGAGGCTTTCAAGATATTCCTCTAGAGGGAACGCGAGACCTTCAAACCAAAGCCCTACGTTGCACGGAGCCTCCTTTCATTGGTGGGCAAGGTGTTTCTTCGAGTTGGGCCCTGGTAGCTCTTTCTGAACAAGCGCCGATCGACGCGGCGCAACTTCGCTGTTGAACCTGCTGGGCTCCAGCGAGCACCTGCCGCACATCGTCAAATCACGCCGATATCCTCTTCCGCTGCCACTCCTCCCGTCCAACGCCACACTACGATAGCCCATGGCAGCCAACGCATATCCCGGCACTCCCCTCGTCGAGGAGTTCAAGGGTGGAGACAGCTATGCCATCCTTGTCCAGGTCAAGGAGGCGTACGAGCATGATGCCGCACGCGTCCGAGAATTTGTCTTCGATGCTGCCGCTGCCGTCGGAACGGCGTCATTCATGTAGTCACGACGAGCCGCCAGGAGCCTTAGTCAAGATGCCAAACGTCATTGGAAGCCTACATGCATTTGTATCTCAGCAATAGGTGATGTGCAACAGCGAAATCGCGTACCTTAGGGAGCGCATTTCTTTTTTTTGTCCAGAAACCACAACTCCAGCCGCTCCCATGCCCACGCGAAAAAACACAAAAACACCCTGAAGTATGCTCCTCGCGTTCACCACTTGATTTATTTCTTGCACCTCTTTGGAGACAAGGATGCCCCCAAAAGCTTTTTTTTATCGGGACCCCCCCCTCCCCCCCCCACCCCCCCGATCCCGTGCCCACACAAAAAAACACCCGTGGTAGGCAAGACGCGTCATTCAAGGAATTCTATCCTCTCTTTCACGATTTGAATTCTTCCTTTTCCCTGTTGGACTTATGAGTTGCCGAGAACGCCGAGGCGTGCTTCGTCTTATCGCTAAAGCACTGACGACAAATTACAACGCCACCCAACTTCTCACACTGAGTGCACCGGCAGACAGTTTAAACTTTCCTCCCCCGAGGCTTACTCTTCCGCTTAGGGTTGGTTGGGGTACGACCGTCACACATTCTCGACATGCAACAGAAGCGTTGTGTCCCCCTCAGAGCCTGAATGTCGCCACTGGAAGGGTGCTTTTACGCCCCCGACCCCCCCTTTCGGCGTTGCCAATGTTGCACGAAGACATGAGAAAGAAGCTAAGCTCCCTCCTCCAAACTGATCTTGACTCCTGTTCTATAGTGGCCAAACGCTCGCCCTCCTCTCGCAGCCCCTTGAGAAGCAGCCCATCTGCAGTTTCTTCGCCTTCGAACACCCCCCTTTCCTCCATTGCTCGATCGCCTCCTTCACCCCACTCTGCATGTGTCTCAACCACCAGCGAAACATCAACCACGCATTCGTACAGGCCTGCATCAACTTCTGCTCAAATAGACGTCGTCAAACATAATTTTTAGCACGGTGTTGTGTCTGGTACGCACCGTTGTGCTGGTCCGAGATATCTACTCCCCCCATGAACTTGTAGTGGAATCTACACCAAGGCTGGAAGCCGTGGGCCTTCTTCGACTGTCCCGCCACGTGCTTGCTGTCGGTGTGGACGAATACAGCGAGAGCGCACGGGGCCGAATGTATGGACTTCTGTGTCTGCATGAACGGGGTATGAACCTCAGCAGCGTCTACACACGTACGCACCCGTATCACCAACCCCGAGACACATATCGTGCCAAGAATATCAGAACCATACGCATGTCATAAACACCGCGCCCACCTGTACTCCTTCGGTAGGAAGTGCTTCGGGATGAGGTGGATTGTGGACAACAATTTGACAAGCTTGGAATCCTTCCACTGCACGAACACCAAGGATCCGAACCTCGCGAACACCATCTCGCCCTTCTTCCTGACATACTGTCTCGTGGTAGACCAGTACTGGATGGCCTCTTTCGATCCGCGGTGTGTATCCCTTAGGGTTNGATCCGCGGTGTGTATCCCTCAGAGTTCTGACATCAAAAATCCCGTGGCACACAGACACATGAAGATGATGGGCGAGGTGAAATAATTGTCGCAGGCCATGTAGGTCCCTGGCCTAAACAACTGCACCCCAAGTGTCGGGCACGCGTGGAACAGGACAAAAATCACCATTCGGCATACTCGCCCCAAGGGACAATTTGCCCACATGCGAATCCTCGGATCTTCGGTGTAGCCGCCGCCCGTGTATCCCGTGAAACAGTACCCGCTCCAGCAACATATCCCCCAAATCTTCACGCCTGGAAAAAGTATGGTAGGCATACGTCGTCGGGGGTGGTAGCGGGCGGGGTAAGCCAAGCCATAACAGTCAAGAGTCACACGCCAACTTGAGAAAGTAGCATTGCAATTTCATCACTAACACGGATTACAAACATTTCCTTCCATGGACGAATGGAAGACAACCACGGAAAAATTGATCGATTTGGGTGGGGGGGGGGGCTGTGGACGGGGCTTGGGCATGACACAACGTGTCTCGGCCCTACACGGTACACGCTGTTTGTACACAGTGAATGCTGCCCGTGAGCTACACTCACCATTCTTGATGGGCTTTTCGGCATATGCCTCAGCATGAACTTTGCGGAACGGCTGACACACTTGACCATCTGCTCATCGGAGGAGATACATCGACCCACCAGAGCGGCTTCACTCCACGCCGAGTTCAACATGGACTCCACCTAACTACCAGCAGACAACGAGACGAAGGCGCGGCAGGAGTCGGGGAGCGACCTTGGGTGTGACCGGGGTGGGGGTAGGTGGCGTTGGTGCCTCCTGCATTCGACGCATGAAATGCCTACCGTATGGTGCACCATGATTTACCCCGTACACGGGGCAAGAGTTGAAAACGGGGTGTAACATTTTTTGTGCAGCATAACTCCCGGCGGGGGGGGGAAACAGTTTTTTCATGGCAGCGAGTTCCATCTTCACCTACATGCTCTTGGTGTAATGCTAACTTGGAAGCGGCAATAAATATTTTGGGCCCGTCTGCCAGACGTTGTGTGGGTGTTCGTGTGCGTGTGTGCGTTGCGGGGGGGGGGGGGGGG